GTATGATATGGGGGTAATTAATCATAGTTGTGGTAAGGTTTACATGAAGAGAATACAACGATGGATAGCAAGTTCATGCAGGCCCCTAGGTCACCACTGTAGGCACTTTCTTTGGCTGGGGGAACTGGTAACGGGTCGGATCTGGTTTCTGAAAGGCGGGGATTTTTAGGGTAGGGGAGTTAACACGGGGATTTTGCAGTGTGGGTTCTAGAGACAAGTGCTCGGGATTAAGCTATACGCACTACGCCGTGCATCTCGACTGGAAATGGCTATACGCACTACACGGAGAGCTCCTGCCATTTGGGTCACCCTTTTCGGACGGTGCGTGTATCACTGGTGAACGCGTTAACACCCTTCCCCCCCCCCCCCCCTGCATTCACCTTCGCGGCTACAGTGTACGGCTCCTAATTACAAAACTTAAACCGTACACGCCGCTTTGCGGCATTGCACCTTCGGAAAGGGAGTCCCATACCATTTAGTTCTGCGAAGTTTCGTCGACAACATTTGGTTTTGATGAAAATCATCCCTGGAGAAGGGGAACAAAAGGGACAAAAGACAAACACAAATCTCCAAACACAGCTAGGTGACTGGTGCGCGACCGAAAAAATCCCCCTGGTCCGGGTATTGAACCCAGGACCTCTGCAATCTGCGTTACAGGTGGAGCGCTCTATGAACTAAGCTAACCAGGGGTTAGACGTCAGTAGGGCAAACGGGTTCTATCAGCCGCCACCAATCTAACACCAACAAGGGTGAAGCTTGCAATTTAAAATTATTATAATGCAATTAAATGCAAAGGTGCAAACGAGCTGGACAAGAATGATGAAAATTTTCGTCATTCTTGTCCAGCTTGCTTGCACTTTGCATTTAATTGCATTACAATATTTTTTTTTTTTGTCAGTGTTAATCGTAAAAAAGAAATGTCGTAAACATCGCCAAACGTTCACAAAAAAAATGTTCTAAAAAAAGAAAGTATGCCCACACTGGCGGTTGATATGTAGAGAGTTTGGCCATTTGTTGGGAAGTATAGGAGACAAATGTGGAGGCGCCATTGGCTGAAAGTGGGCTGGGCGTGTTCCAGGGCGTCTTCAGAAATTTGAATGTGGCCAACCAGAAGCCGGAAATAATACCCTGGCCGTGGCCGCGCCAAGTGCATCGGAGTAACTCTTGGTGACTGAAAATAAGGAACACGTGATGTTTCAATCACGGTCATCCAAAATCATGGTGGAAGAGTGCGACGAGCGAAATGATTGACATAATCCGTACGCCAAGCGCTGAGAATCTGCCGTCCGAGCGGTCAAACTCTGTCCGAGCAGAACAGAGTTGAGCAACGCATTCATTTCTTACACCTTTCTGCATGATCATGATCGAAACATCACGTTCACCATATTTTCAGTCATGAAGGGTTACTACACCTCACTCTAATGTGCTTATTAAAACTATATACAAACATATACCTTTGATTAAAACAGTTTCTCGCTACCACCGCTAGGGGATTCTTTTCGGCTTCTGATTGGCCAAGAGAGCATGTCAAGCCCACTTTCTGCGTCTGGTGCACTCCCTGGCTCTGCCCGCGCCTCCCATTGACCAATATCTCTGTATACGGCTCTGCACTCTGCTACGCCACCGCTTCGGAAGCTCGTTGTAACCATTCGATTTATACGAGTTTTGCGTCGTGCGTATACCCATTTCCGGTCGAGGTGGGCGACATAGTGCAAATAGCTTTACTCTTTTAAAAATGTTTCATGAACGTCAAGTTTCACCCCGCGTGCGCCGTTCCGCGATGGTTTTAAACAACCCTGAATTAATTTCAGCTATCAAAATTCTATGCACAGGCCACTGAAGCGGCTGAGGTGAGCAGGGGGAGATTGGAGTTGTTGCAATGTCAGCTTTCACTTTAAGTCGCGCATTGCAAGAGGAAAGCGGTTCACGCTGATACAATGCGAAACAGAACAGCCCACGATCTTATGGTGAATTCCGCTCGCAGATCTCGAGCACTCCAAAAGCGCCCCCTTTTGAGCGTGCATATTCCACTTGCAGATCTGGCTCGAGTTGGCCGTCCTCCGCTCTAAGATCTCTGGCAGCACCCGCTCCATGGAGCGCCTCCAACCCCGCCGAACTTGCTCCGCGGGATTTCACAGATCTATCCAAAACTTGACCGAGCGCATACGTAATTTCCTTTTTAACTGGACAGTGCGCATGCGCGGGGAGGTTGGCGAGGTCGCCGGACCGGTCCGGTCGATCGGGCCGTCAGGTTGGATCTGTTTGGATGCATTGGTTGTTTACGCAGGATTGTGACGGCTCGAATGCTTCTACATCCCATGAATCAGGTATACAAAGCCGGGACTGGAGCGTGGTAAATCGTAAGTGCTGACATGCGTGATCGTGAGAGGAAGAACGAGAAAAAGAACGACAGAAAATCTGGAGGCAGACGCAAGGTTAGGCCTGCTCATTCTGCAGCCAATGATTGTTTACCTTTTTACACTGCATGCCGCCGGCGTTTCCTCGTGCAATAAAGCAAGAAGAGATTAGGCAGCGACCGTGCATGTGATGGTTTGTTACCTCATTGTGTTTATTCAAGTCATACCAGCAATCTGAACTCCACTTATGGCAATCGCTGTGCGTGCCCCGCAGCGTCGAGGCGGCCAAAAGGTATTTGACGGTGGCGAACGCGGACGTCTACCTCGTTATTCGTGAAACGGGCTCCACGGTACGGACATTTTCGCCCGGCCCGTGTCGCGTGTTATTTCTGCAGCTAAACAGTGACAGTTTTCACTGGTCGTCGGAAACATCAGTCGGCTGAGGCGTTGGTGGGCTTGCCAAGCTCGAGCAGAGGCCATTTGAACGACCGAGGGGGAAGCGGGGGAAAATGCGAGTTTATCTTCCCCTCGTCGATTCTGAGCGGGTCCCACGGAGCGGAATCTCGCCTCCCTCGCGGATCTTGGAAAGCGCTCCGGATCTACGAGTGGAATTCACCATTGGACTAATCGGCGACCCGTGCGTACGCGAGCTATAACGGCATCTGGGTTGGAAAACAACGCTCCTACCATAAAACTGCGACCGCCGGCACTACAAACAACGGGAATATCGCAAACCCGAGATGCCGTGCCGGCCAAATGTCCACTTCGTTCGAAGAAAGGAAACAATAGAGCGCGGTAGATGGCACCGTGCAACATACGATAGTAAAGCCCCTTGATAAAAGCGTTTTTTACAAGTACCGCCAACCATTGTTGTGGAAGCGCGCCAGACACGTGCCATGAGCGGGTGCTCCGCCGCCATTCGCTTCCAAGGCCCGCTCATTTCCGTGCTGCGCCGCCATTTGCTTCCAAGGGCCGCTCGAGACATGGGCCTCGTGCACTTGCGCATTTGACGCTACTTGCAAGACAAACGCAAACACATCGAGGGGCTTTATACGATAGCACACTTGGGAAATTTAATACGTCCGCATGCTTCAAATAGTCTACCACAGTAACTTATTAAAGGAGCAATGCTATCACTTACCTGCCATTTCGTTCACGAAGGCTGGGTAGTAGCCTTCGTCTTCACCATCTTCGCCACGCCAATACGCCTGTACCCTAGACAACTTGTCGAAGTCGCCTGGTGTCTCCGGACTGAACTCTTTTATCAGTGAAACAGGAAGAATGGCACGTTGCCCGTCCTGCGCGTACCGAACGTACGCGAACATGCTGACGAACTACGAGCAGTACGAGGTTCAGAAAGACAAACAACGTAAACCACGTAAACAAACTAAAGTCGCTGAAGTAACAAAGCGACAAGCTGTGCGGATTGAATTGGCTTGGCTAAACAAATAAAACATTTCTGAATTGGCTTACTTCGACGATGTCAACGCGAGTAGTAAACGAAAAACTATATCCATATACACTAAATATTTTTTTTTCTTTAGTAGTCATTATTTTAACCATATATTTGCTAAGGCAGCTTATATTTGGCTCAACAAGCACAAACGCATCATCATCAACAAGCATAATTTGTTTATCGACATAGCAGTTGGGCAACGCTGGGTGCGGCAGTCTGCTCGTTTCATCGCATTCGTGCTCTTGGATCCACGCTCACTAGCAGTGCTCTCCGCATTTCACGTCATTTTCTTAAAAACTTTGTACTTTGAATCGCTGGACGCGATGTGTAATATCACATTTCGTTAATTTCAATAGCAATATGACAAGCCTTCCGTCCTATAAGCGACGGAAGCGGTACCTTGATGTGGGCGAAGAATTGCTGATTCCCAAGTCGACGTATTACCGCCGGCTGAAAGAAATAGGAACTTTAGATTCGCGGACTCCGATATCAGAACCAAGTTCACCAAAAATATCTGACGACTCCAACATTGGTGGCGATCTGGAGAGCGAAGACGAGCAAGAGCCGATCGACTCCGATAGCAGCCAAGATGTATACGCGTCGTCCCCGGTGCCGCCAGAATTGGCGATCGACTACGGTAACAGCCAAGATCTGTGCGCGTCATCCCCAGTGCCGGCAGAAAGAAGCGTCAATGAAGACCCGATGAGCGAGTCGGCGAGTGATCGCGACTTTATCGCGACGTCTGACGATGAGCGCAGCGCGGCCAGCGACTTCGACGAGGAGCCGCCCGACTTCCAGCCAGGGCCAGTGTTCGAGGACATACTCTCGTCGTGCTTCGAACAGTTCGGAGCGGAAAAACTGCCGAACACGGAGACGACCAAGGCAGGAGCGATTGCCATGGTAATGTCATTTATTGCAGGAAATGGCTTAACTTGGACTGCGCTTGGGCAGTGTGTCTGCATGATTAATACCATTTTCGGCAAAGATGTCCTGCCTCAGACGAAGTATGTTTTTCGGAAACTCTGGGCTGGCAAAACTAAGGATCTGGTTAACTACCACTACCTCTGCCCAAGTTGTGAGGGCATGATGAAGATGGAAGGCGCGGCAGGACACTGCGAAGTTTGCCAGCAGAAGGTAACTCAAAAGAAGCTAAGGGCACAAGGCTCATTTTTCATGATGCTGGACATGGAAAAGCAAGTCAAGTTCCTTATTGGCAAGACCAAGGATGCCCTCGGGGAGAACCTGCTCCGACCTGCTGCAAGCCCCGATGACCCCATCACAGACATCACCACGGGCAAGGGATACCGAAAGATGCGTGAAGAGGCGAAGTTGGCAGTTGATGACTTGACGCTGACTATCAACACGGATGGTAGTCCTGTCTTTGAGTCCTCAAAGACCTCTGTCTGGCCCATCCAGTTCGTCATCAACGAGCTGCCACCTCATGTGCGCTTCAAGCACCCAACCCTTGCCGGCCTCTGGTTCGGGAAAACTCACCCAAATATGCAGACTTTCATCGGCACATTTGTGGAAGCAGTGAACTCCATGCAGCCCGTCAAGTGGAAGCATGGGTCCCACCTGTACCAGTCCAAGGCCTTCGTCCTCTGCTGCTCCGTGGATGCCCCGGCACGAGCAGCAGTTCAGAACATGGTGCTGTTCAACGGTTACCATGGCTGTCCATGGTGTCTGATCACGGGCGAATACCGTGAAGGTAGGGAAAAATTATATTTATACGGCGAGCAAGTTGTCTTCTCGTGGAGAGGGTAGAAGAGGTGCCAAGAGTGACGTCACGGTGCCGCGTTCTGATTGGACGATGCTGACATGGAGAAACATAGCTTTGTCGTCTGCTAGTCATAGCAGTGACTGCCCTGCCTGCCTTGCCTGTCAGAGATCTACCGATTCTGTATGGACTAGGACTCCATCTTCGTCAAACGGGAGGGGAAATAGCTCGAAGGGCATTCTGAATTAATTGATTTATGCTCTGTGCGCTAGGGTGTAGTGGAACGATAAAGCCAAAATCTGTTTGTCATATTTCAAAGTTTGACACAACTGAACTGTAAAATAAGGGGATGGGAGAGTAACGTAACTATTGACACCTCCCCTACCCTCTCCGTGAGAAGCACACAACTTGCTTGCTGTATTGAGTGAACAGACCTGTATAGCAATGATTTGGGTGGCCTGCAGTAATGAGACGGACTTGTATGCAACGCTTTGGATTAATTAAAGTTGTCTCTCACAGGGAGCATGCGCTACATCGCTGATGAGCCTCCAGCTCTCAGGTCATCAGCTATGGTTTCCCGCGACATGCAGCTGGCACTGGCATTCAAGGATAGTGTCAACGGCATCAAAGGCCCTTCAGCAATGATGAACCTCCCAGGTGTGTCTCTTTTTGCTGTTTATCTACCCCGAGTGTCTTTTTAAGCACAAAATATGTTTGTGGGCTGGTTTCAGCACTTATACACCGACGCTTTGATCTCACTTTGAACGGTCCGAAAAAATTGGTTTCTCAATGTATTTGCAGGAATTTCGTACAGAGGTGCGGCTAGGTGGTGCAAGCATGGAGTCAGCGCGATATTGATATTTCCAAGGTGGTGCCTGTCCCTAGCCCATATTTATGCTGAAAGATCGGCGCTAAAATTTCGCTTCCGTACCCTTAAAACTGATGAACTTTCCTCGTTCACGAAAGAAAAATGAAAAACCTGTCTTGGGCGATCTACAGCGCCGTTTTGCAGGTGACGCAGACGGTGCTTGTTCACTTGAAGACGCTGCCAACAGAGGGTGCAACTGCATCGAAAGAATGCGGGGTGATCTAATTCGGGTTTTGATAGCACATGACTTGGCGAACGTTTCTCAGTTGTGCCATTGTCGGCGGCGTCTCTAAGCGAACAACCACCGTCTGCGTTGCCCGCAAAATGGCAGCGTAGATTGCCCAAAACAGGTTCTTTTTTTTAATATTTCTTGAATGAGATAAGTTCATGCGTTAATATTTTAACTCTATGCTTGCACCACCTAGCCGCACCTCTTTGGTAAATTCCAGCAGGGTACGTTGAGAAACCGATTTTTTCGGACCGTTCAAATCGATATTGAAGAGTTGGTGTACATACTGTAGTGACACCTTCCTGAATCCTGGGAAACGAAAGTCTGCAGCGGAAGGGTGTCGTTTGAGACAGAAGTCGATCAGACAAAATGTTAATGCCTTAAAAGCTCTGGAGAAGGCGTAGATTGAACCGGGGTCTTTCGTGTTGTGAACCTGATGCTGAATTAGCGGCGCTAATGGAGGGCACAAGGAAAGCGAGCTCGATATGTCATCTCTCAGCTGCTGACAGTTCCGAACGCACTGATCTAAAGTAAATTTTTGTAACTTTGAGTTTAAGAGCCTACCGCATCCAGTGCTGCTCTGTCTGTGTTGTCGCTTGATAGGGCCCACTGGGGTAGCTAGGATACAGTGGAATAAGGTTTCAAACATTGTCACACTCACTCAGATGGTGCGAGAGTGTGCATGAGCAACACCACCTACACTCATATCACCTCAAGAAAAAAGTATGTTTTGTGCATGATCCCTGTGCTGCACAAAGTAATTCTTACAAGAATTGGTTACCAAAAAAAGAAACAAGGCTCTTTTGCATTTGCAATGTGCACAATTTGACAAAATGACAAATACCTCGTTCTGTATGCACCCTTAGTATTTTAACCTCACCACGTAAAAGAAGCTAATATCGCTCCGCAAGATGCCTCCCTTTTTCATTATAGTTCTTGAGCGGGAAATGAGTATAGACAAGCTTCAAGCCTCACCGCTGAATTTTCAGTGGCACCTAAAATATGTTGGCACAGGGCCCACATTGAACATGAGCGCCACGCCAGCATTTGGCTTAAACTCATATTGCCGCATGTGTGTCGCGGTCGACAGGTGGTATAGCACCTGACTATCACGCAGAAGTCCCAGGTTCGAATCCCGGGACTGGATAACATTTTTTGTTAATTCGTAAAACCTGTGGTTCTCGAAAATTGGAGAATCTTGTCATTTGTTCTAGATCAGAATGTCCTGTTCCCGTCCTCGTCCTCTCTGTTTTATACTTTCAAGTTTTGTAGCAGAATGTTCTAGTGCCAAATATTGTGGTAAGAACGTTCCAGAAAATGAAGTGGCTATAAAAGAAGCTCTGCATGGCCGTACGAATTCATTCCATTGCCAGCTTTGATCCTGCTGTTATGCCGAGATTCGACGCCTGTGACGCCCTGTTATCCCTTTTAATTTGGGCAAAAGTTCGCCCCCATTAAACATTCATTTTCTTCACTCATGTTTTGCCTCGCCACTATTTATTAGTGACAATATTCTTACTGATTAGTCTGGCCCGGATATATAAGCACTAGAAACGTTCAAAATAGGCAGGTATTTAGGCTCCAAAACCCCGATATAGTGAGTGAAAAAGGCACATTAAACTTGGCATCGATTCTGTTAACTGCGCCGCAAGGAAACATTACATAATACCACAAAGGGTAACACTTTTGCTGATTTAGAACTGAACAAGCAATTTAAGTTGCTACAGAAACCGAATGTCGTGGCAATAATAAGAAAAGGCTAGCCTTCCCCTGCCTCACACCAATGCTCGGAACTACTGAGTTTCGTGAGAGTGGGCTGCAATGAATGATATCTTCAGGATTTCAAACAAAGCTTCTTCTATTCTTCCCAAGCATTGCTTTGTACTTTCACTAAGTTCTTTCAAAGTTACTCCATGTAAGACTTGTGCATGTGAAGCACAAATCTTCATCTAGACTAAGCTCTTCTCGAAGGAATTCATCTTTTTCAGTTAGTGCACTTCTTTCTTATCTTTAGCAGAGCTGAAAGTTCCTGAATTCTTTTTGTCCCTCCATTTTGCTAAAGGTACTGGTGCCCTGCCTGTCACTTTGAAGTCCCCCTTGTGCATTTTCCGCTTGTGAGCGGAGATTGCTGAAGCGGTCTCCGCTCATGGGTGCAAGCAGAATGAAATATTTTAAAAATAGTGGTATGCCAGAGAAGCGAACAAAGACGAGGTAAGACCTTTAAATTGGCATAATAGGGGCAAAATGATTAAAAAAAAAATTGTGCTTTCTGAAGGGAATTAGAAAAAAGGCAGGGACACTCTAAGAGGCCCTACTGATTAGACACAAGTCCCAGCTAAATGTTGACGCAGAACTCATGTCCAGTCTGTGCTAAGTGCTACCTTGTTCGAGGTGATTACGAAAATCCAGCACTGGGGCTGCTTAAAGCTTGACTAGGCAGTGTTGGCAGGAGGTGAGGGGGGAGAGAGAAGTACACACTCGGGGGGGGGGGGGGGGGGTGTAAAGGGGGAGGACAAGGCAGCAGGGTCAAAGCTGGGACTTGCAACAGCTAGAAAAACAAAATTGGTGTTTCACTCCCGCTGGAGTGAAACTTTGGTGGGGCTTTCTTTCGGAGATGACGACGAGAGTGTTTGCGTCGTCGAGGCACAAAATGTGCACCAAGTTCATTTCTACAGCACATTCGGTCACAAGTGCCTTTGCCACGACAGTGCAGGAACTGGAGTAAATTGTTTTGTATTTTGGGATATTTTAAATTATTTATATTTTTTAGAAAATGTTAAGTTCACAAATTTTTCATGCAGAAAAATTCTAAAGCATTGTATATGTAGTCTCTTTGCAATGCCACAAACTGGGATCTCACAATTTACTAAATAATTAGCCATCTCAAACCTTTTGGATGGATAACTGAAGCAGAATTATAGCTCAAGTGCAGTACAGCTGGTGACCACCTATAGGCTCACAGATCATTATTTATAGTGACCACACCCCGGTTTCTATCAGAGGTCATATGGAATTAATGGGGGATGTTTGCTTGCTCGCAGGTTTTGATCTCGTCACTGGCTACAGTGTCGAGTACATGCATTGCGTGCTGCAGGGAGTGGCAAAGCAGGTGGCTGAACTGCTTTTCTCCTCGTCAAACTCAAACCAGCATTTCTACATAGGTACAGTACCTATCCGCCATACCTCTTGTGCTTAAGTTCTTCCGAGTTTTGCGAATGCTGACCAGACAAACTTCCTTCTGGTTTTGAATTGCAGGAACTGCGGCCACTTTGGCGAGGGTCAACGCTAGGCTTCTCTGCATAAAGCCTCCGCATTGCATCACCAGGCTTCCTCGGTCATTGTGTGAGCGGAGCTACTGGAAAGCATCGGAGTGGCGCCACTGGCTGCTCTTCTACATGCTCCCCTGCCTGCAGGGCATCCTTCCAGTAGACTACTGGAAGCTGCTTGCAAAGCTCTGTGGGGCTGTCCACATCCTTTTGAGGGACAGTATCGCTCTTCATGAGATCCAACAGGCAGGTAAGTTGGCACTCAGGAATAAGAGTAAAATTTCAAAAACTAATTATTTTTGCTTTGCACGACTATTATGCTAGGGAGTGTCTACATCCACGCCAGGGGACGTAGCCACGTCGGGAGGAGATAAGGCTCCATCCACGCACTACGTCACTTCCGGCGCACCACGTCACTTCCTGCGTGGACGGAGGCAGTTCTTTTTTTCTTGGTCGAGGAGTTTGGCCTTTTGTGTATTAGCACGGTCGCGCTTCTGATATGCCTCGAGTTTTGGTTGCCGGGGATTCGATGGTGAAATACTTGTCCCAGTATTTCTCTTCGAATAAACGGATGGCTGTCGAAGTGCGGGCGTTTAGTGGCATTAGGATTGAGGCTTTGTTTTCCAAGGTGTCTGACACAATGCTCGATTTTGGCCGTGCGTTACAAATACCGTCGGCTGGCCGCTCAGATCTTGGATTGCAGTCCGGCGATGCAAATCGTCTTTTCTTCCGTCCTTCCGAGGTGGGAGAATAAGTTTTCTTCGTTGGAGTGTCAGCGTAGTCAGAGTGCCGAAATCCAGGAGTTGAATGATCGACACGGAGACGTGAACTGGCTCCTGCAGGAGTTCTGCCGCAAGGAGGGCTTCGTGTTTATTGGTGATCACGTGGACGAGTGGCATCTGTGCATCGGCTACTGTTTTATTTGTCATAAAATAACCTGTTTCTGGAATCATTTACCCAGTTTTCTCGATTGAATGCTCTCATTATGTTTGTTATTACTTGGACTAATGCATGTTTTCCCTTCTCTCACAATCTTTGGGAGATTGCGAGCGTGCGCGCAAGTCAAGAACATACGGAGCGGTGGGCTCGCACTTGTCCCCTTTGATGCACATAAGCTCACACTAAAACGCCTCTAACCAAGCCAACTACACACACGACGAAGACCCACCAGCCTCACCGCCCCGCCTCAGCAGCGATGTACAGATGGGCTAAAGCCCCGGGGACCTTAGCCCATGTGTGCGTGTGTGCGTGCGGGCTCCCGCACGCATGCCGCCTACACACGTGTGTGACTCCTGGACAACATAACTATAAAGATATTTATTGATACTATTTTTTGATGCATGATATTTGCTATTAGTCTTAGAAAACAGTAAAAAAACTAATAAAGTGTTTAAGATTTTGTAAGGTCACGTGACATATTAACTTTAAAAACAACAATAAAATGTCACCTCTTTATTTTTATATCCCATATTTACTTATAAGAAAGCATAATATGTACATCAAAAGAAATTATGTGCTTATATTATAAGTCACGTGACCTTTTGCGTGGATGGAGCCTTATCTCCTCCCGACTTGGCTACGTCCCCGCGCGTGGATGTAGCCTCGGCCATTATGCTACGTCATGGAATGCTAATAAAAGTGTTACTGCAGACAGAAGTTATGAAAGTGGTGATAATAACAGAGGGGATGTTCATATGCATTGCAACAGTTGCCATGTAATGTCTATATTTCACAGTATATTGTCCCACTAGCTTCGGGCATTGCACGAAATAAGTAGGCTAATGGAAAAAATGTGAAGCAGCATATATCAATGGGCAGGGAGGGCGATGATGTATTGGAGTAGTTTTCATCTGGTGACTGCAACCAGTGATGTAGAGCTGGAGTGTTTGATATGTCTTTTAATCACCCAGGCACATAGCCACGGGGGAGGCCCATGGGGCCCGGCCCCCCCCCCCCCCCCCAATATCTTCCATTTTGCGGAGACCTCCTCTCCTCCCTCCCCCTCATCCAGCATTTTGTCTGCCTCTTCAATTTTTTGTAATGCCCATGGCATCGCCGCCGAAATTCTGGTGAATATTTCTGTTTCCACTTGAGTGTTGCAACGCTTCCACCAAAATTTGATGCAATACCTCTGTTCAAGCTGTTCGGCTGTTTTGCAGGAAAAAAAAATGACGAGCACCGATTACGATCATCTGGTGGGCTAGTTGGTTGGATCATTATGTGGAATTAACAACGGAAATACAAGGAAGGATAGTTGAGGGAGACATGATAGAGTGCAGACTAACAACTGACGTTTATCATCCCTTTTTTCTTGTATTTGTGCTGTTAATTCCACATAATGAGCACTGACAACACTTCCTCACTCAGAGGCTGATTGCCCGCAACTCACATTTTTTGCGGGCCTGATAAAATTCATGCCTGCACATTAATGTTCCCTCCACCTCCCCACCGGAGGACGCTGTCTGCACTTTATTTGTTTCCGTGGCACAAATTCAGACACATAAAAAAATGTTTGAAAAGCGGCAGAGGCTTTATTGCACGACGTTTCGGGAAGAGACTTTTCTTCCTTTCCAGCAGTCTGTGCCAGCAAAAATTTTGAAATGAAAGAATGGAGCATTAAGTTGCAGCATTTAGGCATGTGAAAATGTGCTCATAATGTCTGGGTACTCAACTTCGTTGTTTTCTGTTTTGTTTTTCAGAGCTGCTGCTCGAGACCTTCGTTGGCCGCAGCAAGACACTGTTTGGCGTGACCTCTGCCACATTTAATGTGCACCAGTTGCTACACCTATGCAACTGTGTCCGTCAGCTCGGCCCACTCTGGGCCCACTCTGCCTTCGTTTTCGAAGGGGGGAATGGCAGGATTGTGAAGCTCGTGTCAGCCGCGCGAGGACTCCCTGACCAGATTTTGGAGCGGGCCGTGATGGCTCAACAGGTTGAGTGTCTCCTGGCAACAGCGAAGTTGCCCGACAGGGAACAGGATGTGTGCACGAGGTTTCTCGGTTTCCCTCCTATTCAGAATGCAAGCCATGTGGAGGGAACATGTCTGCTTGGATGTGGAAGCGCTGTAAGCTTGAGTGCAGTGGAAAAGCGTGCTCTTGAGCAGCACTGTGATTTACCTTGCACCACTGGAACAGAGTATGAACGCTTCGTCTTTGACCGTAAGGTATTCCACAGTGCTGCCTACACTAGGCCAGAAAAAAGCAACACCACGGTCGTCTCCACACAAGATGGGGAGTACTACAAGATTGAAAAAATCATCCTGTTGTCACTTCCCGCCCAGACATGTGTCCTCCTCTGCCGTCCAATTGTCCTGATGGAGGAATCATGCATGCCACCGCACATCAAGGAATGTTTTCTTTCAGAAAGCGAGGCCCTGACCGTCCTACAGCCCAGTAGTATCAAGGACAGCTGCCTGTATATAGACTTTGTCAGTGAAAACAAGTCATTTGTGTGTGATTTACCAAACAGCATTGAGAGGGATTAGTTCAACTCGCTTTTGTGTAAATATGTTATTCTATGTAAATATCACATTTGGTTGACCCACTGTAGATAGGGGAATTTGATACTGTAAAGCATGTTACAAAATGTTTTGCACGTGTTTGTTTTCTGTAGGAACGGTATACTCGAATGCAAAGACAAAATTTATTCTCAAGTACAAAGCACCACTAAGGTGGTACCAAAGGAGTCCTTTCAGTTGTTTCAAATTGTATAAACAGAAGAGAGCTGCATGTACATAAACTTTCCTTACAGAAAGAAACTTCATTTGTGATTTACTTCATGTCATGTAAAAAGGCTGCTATAATCACAGAAAAAAGCCAAGAGATATGCAAAGCAGAAATTACCATATAGACCAACGAGCACGTGTCCTTGCACACAAAATAAAAGAGGAGGAGGATAGTGATGGTGACACCCTGGGGGGTTTAATAGAATGTGACGATGCTGGGTCTCAATATTATGCTCTACAGAGAAGTGTGGAAACAACTATAAGTCAAGCATGACGACATTTAATGAAATGACACCGAGATAAAAACTTTCCTTGCGGTACAATTTCAAAAATAGTGGGTTGGTATTTCTATCAGTCTTTTCTGCCCTTATTCCTAAATAAAACTAGCTTTTTATTTGGAACAAAATCTTTAGCTTCGTTGACTTTTTTGGATTGATGGCATGAAACCATTTCCCATTTTGATTCCGACGGGATTTTATACACAGGTTTAATATAATGGTGGAAGCATCTAGTAAAATTGTGGAAGGATTAGCTCACCTCAATAAAACAAAAAAATCGGACTATATATCTTCTCATGCATCACATGTAGACATAAATAAAAATTTGGGTCACTGTGGTATTTATTTTGGACAAATGAAGCGAATAATATCAGAAAATTGTTTCCTCTCCATTACACTTTTTTTTTCAGTCGTAATAAACACCAGAATAATATTTTGATGATTTGAAAAAGGGACGGCGAGAATTTTTCCAGGGACAAAAAATTGCGAGACATTTAAGTTTCTCTGTAATGCGAAGTTAGAGCACAGCTCTTGCGGTGTTTTGATTTTCCTATATACTGTTGGTAAAGAATTTAATTGGGTATTTTTCTTCTACCTATAAATGGTGCATATATACACCAATTAATTAAAATAGGTAATCACGTGCCTCTATACCCTCCTGCTCCTCTTCTATACCTTCCTCTCCTCCTCTGGAAAATATTCAAATTTTTTTTTTCTTCCTCCAGTTACGGCGACGGCGAGGCCGCGAAATGCGGGAATGGGCGCCTAAAAACTGCGCTATAAAACTTTTTTTATTTTTTTTTGTCACTCCGAGAGTCGGTTTTCATACTTTCAGTTGATGAATCCACCACCTTTGGGCACCCCTGTAGTAAATCGTTGCATGATACGTTCCCAAGTTCATTTTTACGAGTCATCTTAAATACCCTGCAGATCAGCGAACACGAGAGCGGTCGTGTCCGTTCACGTCGTCTCCGAGTGGTCTCGTACCTGCTCTGGCTTAGACTTTTGCCTGTCGCAAAAAGCAAGTTGCCGGTGATCGCTGCCCACATTCTTGGATCGTTAAAACAGTTCGCTGCACGCACTTCTTGAGGGTTGCAACGTCGTCCCGAGCTAAAACTCGCACTCACGTCCCATAAATCTGTTCAAGCGCGTTCGCCAAACGCCGAATGCCGTAACGCCGTAACGCCGACGTTCGCAACGAGAATGCCGCCCGAGTGGTCTCGTACCTGCTCTGGCCCAGACTTTTGCCTGTCGCAAAAAGCAAGTTGCCGGTGATCGCTGCCCACCTTTTTGGATCGTCAAAACAGTTCGCTGCACGCACTTCTTGCAGAATTGCAACGTCGTTTCGAGCTAAAGCACGCACTCACGAGAATGCCGCTGCATTGGCGGCCGCCATTACAAACTCAGTCCCCCTGCTCGTCTTGGCTTCCAGTGAAGTTCGGTGTCCGGCAAACGACCGGCAAACGAGAGTGGCTTCCGGTAGTATTCCAGCGGCGGGTAATCCAAGCGAAAGTGGCTACGCTGGTTTCTGGTGAAAATGAATGGAAATTAACCCGTTTCCACCGAATGTCATTGGAAGCTTTTGCCGGATTTTAACCGTAAGAGGCTCCGGTAAAAGGTCCAGCGAAATCTGGTTACTGGAAGTGGCGGCCGGTAATATTTCCGCCAAGAAACTGGTAAACTACGCTGGTCTCTGGTGAAAATGAGTGGAAATTAACCCGTTTCCACCGAATGTCACTGGAAGCTTTTGCCGGATTTTTCAATAGGGGTGTGTTTTGTTTTTTGTTTGATTGTGCCAAGTTGTTACTATTGCTTGCTGGGGACGTTGAATCTAACCCGGGTCCCCTCACGGAAGCTCAGGAACAGCTTATGTTGCAGAGTCTGGCTATTCTTCCTCAAGTACAGGCGGGTCAAACAGAGCTTCTTAATGAGTTAAAGACAATAAAAAATAACCAGAATTCATTAGACGAAAAAATTGGAGAATTAACGAACAGTCTTACGGTTGTCGAAGTCAATTTGGCTTCGCTACCACAGTTGCGGGTTGATATGGATCACCTTAATGTCTCTACGAGCCATATGGCCGCGCAAATTAAGAGTCTATCCTCGCAGTGTGATAACCTCGAAAGTCAATCAAGGAGGTCGAATTTGATTTTTTATGGAATAACTGACTCCCCTGGCGAAACCTGGACCGCCTCGCAGGCTAAAGTTGTCTCCCTTTGCCAGGAAGTTCTAGGAGTTGAAATTAACTCTTCGTGCTTCGAACGTGCCCATAGGCTGGGAGCTTTCAGAGCGAATCGTAACAGGCCTCTCATTGCGAAATTCTCATCATTTAAGCAGAAACAAGATATTTTGTCCCTTGGATCGAGGCTAAAGAACACTCCATTCTCACTTAGCGAGGATTTTTCACCTAAAATTCGAAGTGAACGCAAAATTCTTCTAGAATTTGCAAAGGCAAAAAATTGCAGACTTCAACTCAAGTATAACCGCTTAAATATTGGTGACCAATCCTTTTACGTTGATGCAGTCACTAGGTCCGTAAAAAATACTGCTGCTTAACAATCAAAAAGGCCTCGTCAGAATGTAGTCGCACCTCTTACTAATCTTATCGTTCTAAATGTAAATTGTAGAAGTATTATAAACAAAACTGACGATCTTGCTGCTCTAATCTTGGTCACTGGTGCTAGCATTGTTATTGGGACGGAATCTTGGCTTGATCAGTCTATATCCGATTCGGAAGTTTTTCCAGTGCATTTCACAGTATATCGTAAAGGCAGGAATGTTTCAGGTGGTGGTGTCTTTTTGCTTATTCATGAAAGTTTAAAAAGCTGCAAGATTGATTTCAATGGCTTATCTTGTGAAACGGTTTGGTGCCGCGTCTACCTTGAAAATGGCAACTACCTTTCCGTAGGCTGTTTCTATAGGCCGCCAGCAAGTGATGCTAGCCCAGTTTTTTCTTTGTATAATGCTTTGTCAGTGGTCGAAGACGGTTTTGTTGTTATTGGTGCGACTTTAATTTACCTGAAATCCAATGGATAGATCACCGGCCTTTAACTACTAGCTCTTCTGGTGTATACGCAGCATTTATTAATCTCATTAACGACTACAGTCTTAAACAGGTTGTTAACGAGAATTTCTCCCAGCCGCTCGAGTCTTCTAGATCTTCTTTTCAGTAATTACGATTCGGCTATTACAGCTGTAACAGTCATTCCTGGAATTAGTGACCATATGGCTGTGGTCGCTAATTTGGCTTGTTCTTTTAAACATGATCTTTCGTTTCGTCCTAAGAAAGTGTACTTATTCGATAGGGGTGATTATACTGGCCTATCGAATAACCTAAGTTCATATTGTCCGGCTTTCGAAGAATTAAGCGTATCGGGTGACGTGCATTTATTGTGGAACATTTTTAAAACGAGATTATCAACCCTTGTTGAAACTTTCGTTCCATCTAAAATTCTTTCGTCCAAGCGACGTCGTGACAAACCATGGTTTAATTCTGAATTGCGGAAATTAACAAATAAAAATAGACGTGCCCTGAAACAATACCGCACACGCCATGACTCTGCATCTTACAGAAAATTAATTGAGATAGGAGCTGCCCTCAAGCATGCCATAACTTCATCCCGAGCAAATTACTTCGCGACGCTAAATACTAAGCTTAAACAGAACCCGAAGGAGTTATGGAAGTTCATTCGATCAAATCGTAAGGATACTGTGGGCGTCCCACCTTTGAGTGTCAGTGGTGACATTGTCACCGATGACCACTTAAAGGCTGTCACTTTTAATAACTACTTTAGGTCTGCATTTTCGGATGTCATTACGTGTAATTATGATCATTCCGAAGTAACGGTTAATCCTGTGGATCGCATGTCTGAAATTTATTTTGACGTGCATGGTATTTTTAAGCTTTTAACCAAAATAAAGCAAGGTCCCGATGATATCCCGAACACTGTTTTGTGCTGATGTCCTGTGCTTATGTTATCTCCCGTTACTTGACCATTATATTTACAGTGTCTTTGGAGACTGGTGTATTGCCACATGACTGGAAAACTGCAAATGTTGTCCCGATTCACAAGTCTGGTCCCAAAAATCTAGTCGTTAATTACAGGCCAATCTCTCTTACGAGTGAATCTTGTAAAGTCATGGAATACGTGATTCACACCAGTCTCATGAGTCACCTTGCCCAAATTAATTTTTTTACTCCAGCTCAGCATGGCTTCCGTTCTGGTTTATCCTGCACTACTCAGTTAACTGAATTCTATCATGACTCGGCATTTTAATTCGATAGGGCAAAACAGGTCGACTGCATATTTTTAGATTTTAATAAGGCTTTTGATGTGGTTCCACATGCTCTCCTCATGTTTAACCTTCGGAAACTAAACATAGATTCCAAAATTTTGTGTTGGCTAGGTGACTACTTAAGCTACAGGAAACAGTCTGTAGTAATTAATGGGATTCGGTCCCCGTCAGTCCAAGTTACATCTG